TAAAAACAGTCCAAAAAACACTTTTTTAATTTTTGCCCTACGCCGCCTAAACTGGAAAGCAAACCTATTCCTACCTGTTTGGTCATGAGGCAGTCCTAAATTAAAACACTAAATTTCAAATCTTAACGTAAATTGATTACTTGATGTTTGCCTTTGTTTTGCTATTTGCCCTGCCCGGCAACACTGTTTAATTGTCATTGCTAACTCCCTTCTGCACTGAAGGGACGATCGCAGATCGCCTGCCTATTTTTTCGTTTATATACTTCGCTTGTTTAAAGGCACAGACAATTCGGTCTGCCTGCCCAACATACTTTCGGTAGTTAAAAGGCACAGAAAAATCGGGCTGCCTGCCCAATATTGTAAAAAATAGCCTTGGTGCCATTAATATAAATAAGTGCATATTTAGTTGGAAATTTTTACTTGGGCACCACCAAAGGTAAGTGAAAAAGCTCACTGACCCAACACTACCCTCCTATTCTAATAGATTGCTCCTCACTAACTTGCCCTCCCTTATTAACCGTAAAACGATGCTTGGTACTGTGTTTATTCGTAACCTTATACGTGGTGAAATTAAGAGTCCTTACTTGTTGAGTAGACTAAATTTCTCTGTACCAAGTAGATTAACTAGGAATTATGTTCCATTAGTTTTAAATACTTGTAGATCTAATTATAACCTGAGCCTTTCAGGGTACTTTGTTCTGACTACAATAGACTTTTTTCTGTATTATCTTTATCTGACGCTCTGCAGCACCTTAAGCCATTAGTATTAACATTTCTGGCACAAAATTAGATCCTTAAATTTAAAATTAAAATTAAATTTAAAATTTCTTTCGTTATTAATTTTTTTTTCCTTAACCTTTAACATTGGTCCCTCGGTCGGTTAAGCGGGTGGTGGGACTACGCACGTATTTAAAATAAAAAATAAAAAAAAAACTGCACAATTGAAAAGGTACTTATTTTAATAATGCATGTGCAGTCGAGTTATTATGTTATGTGTTATGCGTTACATGAAAATAGTGAGTATCGTTGTGTTGCAAATATACATCAAACTGCTTTTCTTAGTTAATTTGTGCAGTCTCTGTTTTGATGTATACAATGCAATCGTAGAATTGTATTAGTTAGAATTGTATTGGCCAGAGAAATTTCCAGGCATCAGCATTTTCGACTATATTTTGACAATTCATTACCTCTTTTGAAGTATTTGCCGGAAAGCGTTGGGTACAAATCGAAAGAAGAGAATCCCTAATGGATTATGGGGAATATTCACCAAAAAAAAATTCCTCGCGGGCCGTCTGTGGAGTATGTCGCTGATTTTGGTGGAGTAGACATATCTTGCACCTCAGTTAATAATAAAATAGTTTCATTGCCATCGAACTACGGTGGAATAGCTCCCACAGACTCTCCACGCCGATTCAACAAGGCCAAAAAAGAGTATATACAAATCGACCTTCGTTTCGCTGTAGCGCAATACAACAGTTATATGGGACCGTTGATCTGATTGGCAGTATAATCGGAAGATAAAAAATTTTATTGAGAAGCAAAGGCTGGCAGAATCTTTTATCATTTACTGGACCTTACAGGTACTAGAACGAATATTCGAAATATTAAGATGGCCCAAGCCTGACAATGGCCCAACCCTGACAACATTCCCCTACATATTTATAATGTTTGTTTAATTTTAATAAAGTTAAATCCCCTTGCCATTTCGAATTATCGGGATTCGACTGTAATACGCAATTTAGAGAGTGCGTGTCAATGACGAAAATGGCACAATGTAAACTTTAAACGCTTCTACTGAAAGTCGTGTTTTCAAAGTCGCCGTGCAATTTTCAGGTCAGAGATTTTATTTAAATCGAATGCGATTTTTTGCATTATTTTTAAAATGAAATTCTCCACAACATGAATATAACGGTTTTCATATTTGTTTGTTCTAACATGATTTTTTTACAAACAAAGTGGAAAAAAGTGTTTTTTTACATTTTTTTTTAACCTCAAATTTTTTAATGTAAAAATTTTTTTTCAAATAGGAATTAATTCATGTTGTGCGCTGTACCTTTATGTTTAATGTCCAATTGCTGTTTTTTGTTTTAGACGAGATCCTGGACCTGGAGACTGCACGGCGCAAAGTTTATTCCTCAAAAAACGACTCCACATTATTGATCATAAATGGGCTTAATTACAATATTTTTCAAAAAACTTGACTGATTTTTATTGCTCAATAATTTCCTAATAACATGCAAAAAGAATCGCAAAGATTCATTTAATTCCCTACTTGCAATCCACTCCCAAAGATAGGTCTTATTTTAGGCACCGTTATCATATAGCTGCCTTAGGAAAGATCGAAAAATCTATATAGAAATAACGGAATAAAATTGATAACATCATTGTTTTTTATCAGGCATGTATGATTTTTGGAATATATTATATTTTGGAATATAGAGTTACTCCTCCTAATTGATTAGGAATTGAACGTAAAATAGCGTAAGCAAATAAAAAAATGTCATTCAGGTTGAATATGAACTAAAGGATTAGCTGGAATAAAAAACGACTCTTGAATTTCGAATTAACTTTCATCAAAATCGGACGGACTGCCATATGAAAAATAGTCGAAAATAATAAATTATTCTAAATGTCATTCGATTACAAAAATTTTAATCATGTTTACAAAAACAATAATAGAAAAATCTTCATAGCTTCGATGTTGTTTAGCCTTTATGAATTTTGTTCGACGTATTTGATGATTGCAAGGGTATTTAAGCTTCGGCTTGTCAAAGCCAGCTTCCTTTCTTGTTTATTTTAATTTTAGTTCGATTGTTAAAAAAGTGAGGAGGCTTAGTAATTTTATATATATGTATGTATATATAATTGTATATACTTCAAAAAGTGACAGAGCTCACTAAATTTGTATGTGTAAATATTTCTAACCGGTTTATTTAGGAATTCATATGTATATATGTACATAGCAAGCCGAAGCTATTATACACTTGCAGTTAATTGTAAAACAGCCAAAACAAAATGCAATTGATTAAACTTTTGTAACATATGTACATACATATGTAATACCGTACATGCACAATTGTGTTTTTCGATTTTCCTATATGTCGTTCGATTACAAAAATTTTAATCATGTTTACAAATACAAAGATATGATGGTTTTTGAAACCAGGACGGAAGACGACAGAAGGTCAGCAAAGGTCTGTCGATCACAGTGTGCTTCCGAAGCGTGTTGATGTCGCTGCGCTTACACTGCAATTATCGTTTAAAGAATCTAGTGCTACACACAATATACATGTATGTACATAAATGCAAAAGATAAACTTATCAACAACCAATCAAAACTTTATTTGGGGTCAGTGGCGTAGCGTGCCTTGTCGGGGCCCCGTATAAAAAATTTTTTGGGGGCCCTTATATGGAGGTAAAGATTTTTCACAAAAGAAAACAAGAAAGGAAGCTAGCTTCGGCAAACCGAAGCTTTTATACCTTTGCAGTCATATGTCGAAAAAAATACATAACGGCTAAAGAACATCGAAGCTAAGACGATTTTTCTATTCATTTTCTATATTTTCGACTATTGTTCAAATGACGGCTATATGATATACTCGTCCGATTTTGATGAAATTTAATTCGGTATTCAAGATTCGTTAGAAAACTCTATATTCCAAAAATCATGGTTGTCTGATGAAAAACAACGATGTTACAATTTTATTTCCGTTATTTCTATATAGATTTTTCGATCTTTCCTATGGCAGCTATAAGATATAGTTGTCCAATTTTTATGAAACTTTTTTCTCAGTAAACGAGTTGTTAAAAAACTTGATATTCAAAAAATCATGCTCGTGGGATAAAAAACAACGATATTATAAATTTATTTCCATTAATTCTATATATATTTTTCGATCGCTCCTATGACAGCTATATGATAGAGTTATCCGATTTTGATCAAATTTAATCCGAAATTCAAAAACAGTTAGAAAACGCCATCTTGAAGAAATCAAGTCGATCTGATCAAAAACAACGGTCTGAGAATTTTGGGAGCTATCCGATATAGTCGGCCGATCCGGCCCGTTTTGACGTATATACTGCGTGCAATAACTACACACCTTTTGGAAAAGTTTCAGCAAGATAGCTTTAAAACTGAGAGACTAGTTTACATAGAAACAGACAGACGGACAGACGTATTCTGATTCTACTCGTGATGCTGATCAAGAATATATATACTTTATGGGGTCTGAGGTGTCTCCTTCACTGCGTTGCAAACTTCTGACAGAAATTATAATACCCTTTTGCTCTGCAAGGGTATACAAAATATTGTGAGAAGAAATATTTATTTATCACATTATTTACCCATTTTACAAATAAAAATCAAATTTTAAATATTCACTCTTACACTCTTTGGGGGCCCCCTTGGCCCGGGGGCCCCGTATAATTGATACGGCATATACGGCGGTAGCTACGCCCCTGTTTGGGGTGAATTTAGTTACCGGGGCGCCAAGATTTGAGGACATATTTTGGGTAATTGGCCCAAAATAAACACTTTTTAATAATAATATATAGCATATATAATATAGCATATGTATGTATCAATGCGTGCGCGCCCCGGTAACTAAAATCGTGCCCCTTATTTCCTTGGCACGATTTTAGTTGCTGGCCGGCCAAGATTTGAGGACATATTATTGTAATTGAGCCAAAAAAAAAAAACACTTTTTAATGAATAAAATTTTTCGATATATCTCACCACTTACGAGATATTGAACCTCAAATGTCGAATTATACTGCTGTTCATAACACATACTTTTCGCGTAACCCGCGGTATTCACGAATAGGGCCCCCTCCCGCCATCGGTTTGTTGCCCGGTACCCGCCAGCCATGGCGTGAACAGCCTTTAATCTTGCCGCCTCTGTAAATAAAATCCCCCCATTTCTTTGACCAAACAATTTTTTCCATCACAAACGTCCACCCAATATATAACGCTAAGAAACTCGAAATGCTTTATTACAGTGCAAAGCACACTTATGTCACGCATTCATTTGTGCCGTGCTCTTTTCTTGCAGGGCCAAGAAGAATTAATCCACAACAATTATGAAAATTTTTTAATCTTTTGATGTGAAGTGATGTGCAATACCAACAAGACTTTACTTTATTTTTAGAAATGTTGCTTAAAAACTTAAAAACAAGTTTGCGTAGAAACAGTCGACAATATTGACTCGTCTGGTATAGCTGATTACGTTAATAATTATTCTTATCACTAAACCAGAGCCGGGGTTGTCATAGCCTCTTGTGTCGAACACACTTCGGCTTTTTCCCATCCATTAGCATCTCAACATTGCTGAACGACTGAAGTGAGAAATCAACGTGTGTCATCCGCTCACAGTGAGTCTATATCGCACTGTTTAACGCGTACACTGCAAATATAATTTGAATAGTCAATTGATTCACATAATATTCATATAAATGCGATAGACAAATCTTTCAATGACCAATTATAATCCGTAACGAAATACTTTTTTTCAACACAAACGTTTAACTCAAGATGTATCGCCAAACAAACCAACCGCTTTTTGATGTGCAGAGCACACAAAACTCATACACTCTGTTTTAAAAGATTTGCGTACAAATACATTTACTTTAAGCTCTCGTCTGTCTGTTTCGCGTTCAGAACAAACGAAAATACAACGTTCAAGACTTGTTAAGTAATGATTTAATTCTTCCGTGAATGGAAAGACATTTAATAACATTTAAAGACAATTGCCATTTGTAATATTTAACAACACAATTTTAATGAGTCAGTGCCAAACTAAAATACTTTTTAACTTGTGATAAAAAAAAAATTGTCTTTTGCGAATTTAATGTTTTACAAATTGTATGTCACTGTTTGAGTTTTTTATGTCCGTAGTATATAAATAACATGCTTCTAAAGTTTTTGTACCCTTGCATATTTTTAGTAAAAAGTTTGCAACGAACTTAAGGAGACATTTTCGACTATAAGTACATATACATATGGATATAAGTATACTTCATCAGCACTAACATCTTTGTCAATCTAGACTTGTATGTACATATGTACATATGTAAGTCTGTCGGTTTCTACGCAAACAGGTCTCTCGGTTTCAAAATCTTGTAGCCTCTCGCATCTAGCATCTTGTATGTACAGTGGTGGCCATAAGTATTTTGACAAAATAAAAGTGAAATATACTCGAAACTTGAACTTGCTTCTTTTAACTTTTGGTATCAATGGAAAGGTAATTCAAATGCCGTTTGAATGATACCATACTTTTCTTAACTCATTCAATATTTATTGAAAAGGGCAATTTAAAAAAAAAAAATGTCAAAAAAAAACTTTTTCCCTCGGCTTCAAAACTAAAATTTTTGGATGCAAAAAGTTTCTTTAAACAAAAATAATAGTAACTGCAAAACGAATTTTTCAAAAATAATTTTTCTTCTATTTTTTATGATTTTTTGAAAATGCTTAGAAATACGCATTTAAGCCATATTTTTCTCTTTTCCATACAAATTTTTTCCGACATTGTCACCTCCGAAAAATCATAAAAAATATAAGAAAAATTATTTTTGAAAAATTCTTTTTGCATTTACTATTATTTTTGTTTAAAGAAACTTTTTGCATCCAAAAATTTTAGTTTTGAAGCCGAGGGAAAAAGTTTTTTTATGACTTTTTTTTTTAAATTGCCCTTTTCAATATATATCGAATGAGTTGAGAAAAGTATGGTATCATTCAATCGGCATTTGAATTACCTTTCCATTGATACCAAAAGTTAAAAGAAGCAAGTTCAAGTTTCGAGTATATTTCACTTTTATTTTGTCAAAATACTTATGGCCACCACTGTAGCTGTCATAGAAAAGATTGACATGAAATGAAAAGAATAATAACGTTCACGATTTTTATTATACAAGAATGATTTTTAAAAAAAGTGTTTTTTAATAAACATGTATATTAAATACGAAATAATTTAAGAAATCGGACAACTATTCATGTATTTTAATTAGCTGTTTATGGGAAAACATGAACAATTTAGAGAGTTATTTTAAATCTCCGTTCAATTACCATAACAAGTAACATGAACAATCTGTTTGGATATTTTAATTGGAAAGTATGAAGAGTTGAGTGAGGTAATGGACATTACGTCCATTGTCGTACATAAAAAAGTTTATCTGAAGTGTGCATTAAACCTCACCACAGACTCATTTAGATTATTATATAATAACTAGATTAATAAAAAAAAATACGGCATTTGAAAAATGGGAAAACTCTCTTCCAAAAAAAAATTGTTACTCTTTTAATCTTTAATTTAAAAGCCGATTTCGGAGAAAAAAAAACCCAGATACGTCTTATGGTAAGATCGTATTGGGGACCCTTAATGGACCAAAAAGCTCATAATTTCAAAATGACTTCGTAGCTGTTTTGGCTGCTTTGTCTGCAAACTCATTGCCTAGTATACCTACATATATGACTAGGAATCCAGAGGATTTTTATTTTATTTGGGAATTTTATTAGGAGGTCTCTTATCTTTGAAATGGTGTAGATTGTGTTGTCGATATTGGTTAGTCCCTGCATAACTGATAACGAGTCTGTGCATACATATTTTTCCTCTAAGCTGAGAACCGATTTCTATGGCGTCATGTACTGCTACTGCTTTGGCCGTAAATACTGAGGAGTACGCTGGAAGGATACCCATTTAAGAACTTCTGTTTCCGTTGTTATGGCGAAGCCGATAACTTCATTAGCTAGAGAACCGTCAGTAAGTATATAGGAATGTGTAGTTTTTGAGGTCTTGTTTTATTTTGGAAAATTCTTTCAGAAAAATATCTTTTGGTGAGTTGGATTTGCTGTATTTTGAAAGCTGTGTGTCTAGCGAGGTAGGTTTAAGTTCCCATGGGGGTAATGATTTGTTTCCCTTTTTTATAGGGTTAATTGTGAGACCGATATCCGCGCAAAGATTAATACTTTTTAAGAGACTAGATGTTTTGAATTTTTTATTGTTTTTCTTGATTATTTTGTTAACTAATGGTTTTAGGGGGTGTCTTGGCAGTGTGTGATTGTATTGAAGAGATTTGCTGTCTATATTCAATATTTGTCATTAGGGGGGGGCACATTTGCTTCGAAGTAGAAGTTGTTTATGGGAGTAGTAGGAAAAGCTCCTAAAGCAGCCCGTAAAGCCGTGTTCATTTGGGTAATTATTTTTCTTAATTTTGATTTAGGTGCGTTACCGTATAATGGTAGTCCATATTGTATCTTTGAGATACATAGACTTTTGGCAATTTGGACAAAGGTAAGGGGATGACAATTGTATCTAAGACTTCCCAGGCATTTAATAATGTTGACTGCTTTTGCTAAAGAAATTTTTAGTCTTTTTATATGGGGATCCCATTGGTATTAGGAGTTTAATGATTGCCCTAAAATTGTAATTTCGTTTGATGTCTTGATGGTAGAGATCGTTGATTCTATTCTGCATTGCAAATGTGTATATGGTTGCATTTGTTGATAGATAGGGAGGCACCTGATAGTACACACCAATTCGAAATGTCCGTGAGTAAGGGGTCTAAATTTATCTTGGTGGATTTATTTTTGTTTAAGTCAAATAAAATATTAAAGTCATCAGCGTAAGCAGTGAATTTAAGGTTTTTATGTTTCCCTATTATGTTAGCCACGTTGTCGAAAGCAATTAAAAAAAGAATAACTGATAGCGGTGACCCTTGGGGGATACCGTTATGGAGGGGTTTTATGTCAGATATTGTGTTGTTTTCCCGAACACGAATCTTTCGATTTGACATGAAATTGATTATGTATTTTATTATACGATGACCGCAACCCCATTTTTTTAATTGGTTAGTAATGGCATGAATTCCAATTTTCTCAAATGCCTTCTCGAAATCAAGTGAAATAATTGAGATATGCCGCTTTTCGGAAAGAGCTCTGTTAATCAGAGCGTCTGCGTAGAGCAGACAGTCTGTAACAGAATTTCCTTTTTTAAAGCCCATTTGGTGACTATTGGTTAGTTTGTTTATAGTAAAAATATCTTTTAGATATTATTTTATCCAGTATTTTTGATATGCAGGGAATTAAGGAGATAGGTCTGTATGATTCTACAATTGTTTTGTCTTTGCCCGCTTTATGTATTGGGATTATTGTGCTGGTTTTATACGTTTGGGAAATGTGAGTTTTAAGGATATTAGAGGTTAAGTATTCTGTATTTGACAGTCTTTAATACATGTTTAATCATTGTGTAATTTATTCTATCATGTCCTGAAGAATGGCATTTTAGGCTATTTAAGGCGGTTGAGAATTCCAAATAGCTAATGTCCTGTTCCATGAATTTTGCTGTTTTATGAGGGGGGTCATGTTGGGTTTGGTTAAGGGTTTCATTTTTGGCTAGTAAGAAGGGTGTCGAGAAGTTTGTGTCTTCTGACCGTGGGGACCAGTGGCTCGAGAAAGCGATAGCAATTTCTTTATGCTTATTTATAGAGATTGCTTGGGCGTTTTTGACACAGTGGATTGATGTTGATTTGTGGATTCCAGAAAATTGTTTGATTTTGTTTCATATAAAATCTGATTTGGTGTTTGGAGAGATATTGGCTGTCATGTTTTGTAAGCTGGTCTTTTTACTAATTCTGATTTCCCTTCTGTACTTCGCGTTGATTTTTTTGTATTTGACTAGGTTTTCATTGTTCATGTTTCTGTTAAAATTTGTCCAAGCTAAATTTTTTGCCTTCTTAATGTTGTCTAGATTTAGACGTTGTAGTGCTTTTTTGGTGGTTGTGTTTGGGGAATGCTTTGAAATGCACTATTGAGGATGATTTTTTTAATGTTACAAGCTTCTTGGTTGGTGTTTGCGGCTATGGGTGTTAGGTTGCTATTGCGGCCTGTAAGTTTTTCAAAATTTTCCCAATCAGCTAACTTAGTGATGAACCTCGGAGAGTATTTACAGGGTTCTTGTCGTAATTAAACATTTTAATTTGGATGAGAAAATGGTCACTTCCCTAAAGATTATCGCAAACATTAAATTCGCAGTGTATCCTAATTTCAGGTGAGCAGAAGGATAAGTCTACGTGGGTAAAGGAGTTGTGCGTAGAAAAATGGGTAGGTTTGCCATTGTTCAGGATTATAAAGTTGGAATTGACTAAGCACCTTTCAAGCGTGTTCCCTCTGTAGTTGTTTTTAGGTGATCCACAAAGACCATTCCAGCTATTGAAGTCCCTAGTTATCAGGGCCGGGCTGGTAAAGTTAGAGAACATAATTTCCAAGTCTGATTGTGTGAATTTATGGGTAGGGGAAATATAGGTTGAGACAATAGAGAACTTTTGTATCGAATCAATTTCAATAGCAATGGCGTCAAAAAGTTGCCCTATGCTGATTTTTTTGTGTTGTAACGATTTATATATCAGGAGAGCAGCTGATGATAGAGGCAGTATCATACTTAAGGAAGTTTACTGGGATGGGAAAGGAGTTTTTCGTCGTTAAATGAGTTTCTTGAATTGAGATGATTTGGGGGTGGTATTTTTTAATTAGTATTAGGAGTTCGTTATAGTTATTGCAGTAGCCGTTTAAATTCCATTGAAGTATCGAAATAGACATATTTTTAAAAAGTAAATATATACAAATATTTATACAAATATATTTATATTAGGTTTAAGGTAAGGTTATCTTAGGTTTGGTTAGTTAGGATTGATAGTATTCGCAATGGTTTTTATTTTCGATCTTGTTATCATATAGTCTTGTTTGACTAATCTTTTTTCCCTTTTTGACATCTTAGTAGGATAAACATTAGCATTTGGTTTGGACTTATCGTTGGATGTGGTTGGTTCTGAGGTGTCATAGCCTGAGGTCATCTCCGCATCGTTTTCATATTGAATTAGTTGTCTGTTGCTTGTGGATGGTTGCTCAGATGTGTTTAGATGTTTGTCCTTCGTATTCAAGTGCTCAGTTGCAGACGATGTTTTGGTTGGGGTTGTTGGCGGTTTTAAAGAATTTTGATGTGGCTGTCCATGGTTGGGACTTGCCACCGTCGAGTAGAGGGATCCGTCGTGTTGGTGTCTTGCTTTATAAATAGCCCAGGCTGCGCGATTGTTAATTTTCTGGTTGGCTTTGATGGCCTGTACTTCCTTGTAAGAGATGAGGACGGGACATGTCCTATCTCTTGAATGGTGGTTAGTGTTGGCGTACTTTTTTTCCCTGCAATTGATGCAGCTGACGTTGTTTGTGCATTTTTCGCCCATCTCCAATTGTATATGGGCTGGCTGGCTGCATTTCAGGCAAAGTTCTGGGTTTTTACAGAACTTGGTTGAGTGCCCAATACGCAAACAGTTGAAGCCGCGCATTACTTGTGGCACGTAGATTCGTACAGTGACTCTTTCGTACCCGATGTAAATACTATCGGGTCGGTTCAACAAAGAGAAGGTGATGATGAAAAGGCCTGTTCCAGTTGGTTGACGGTTTGTGAATCTAGTAATTTGCTTTACTTCGACCACTTTCTGGGATTTCAGGTTATCCAATATTTCTTCGTCCTCGATCTCAATTAAATCCGGGCAATAAATCACACCTTTGCAGGTGTTTAGAGATCGCTGCTCAGAGACTGTGACGGGAATGCCGCCAATCATCTCTTTGAGTTTCATGAGTCTTTCAGCTTGTATATTGTTTTTAGTTTTAACTAAAATGTTTCCATCTCTAAGCTTTTTGCATGATTCCACTTCAGCACCTACTGTTAGATCAATTGTTTTTTTGATCGTAAATGGTGACACTTTTGCTAGCGAGCCACCGCTGCTAAAGTCGGAACGGGTGATCATTAGGTACTTCCCGTCAGGCGCGGAGGGTCTTCTCCAGGGGGGTCAAGCATTGCTGCGTTAGAAATTAGGCACGCGACGGTTTTTTTGTTAGATGAGAGCACTTGATACTGATCTGATTACTGATAAGAGTTCTATTGTTAGACTCGGGAGGGTTTCTATTCGAAGAAACGAAGGTTTAAGGTTTAAGAGAGCACAAGAATCGCACAACCGTTTGCTTTGACTGCCGAAATTGAACTGGTGTTATTTATGTATTACTGTATACTTGTAAATAAAATGAACATTTTAATATAAATATTAGATACAAAAATCTATGCTTCGTCCTTGAATTATTTAACCTCTAATCTTCAAACTAACCTAAAACAGAATATAAGAGATAATGAAAGGATAAGAGAGAGAGGAATACTAGAAGTTTCACTTCTGTCGTGCGTAGCCTGGACACACCCCTTTTTTTCAAACGTCTATAACTTTTTTCGTTTTAGTTTTTTAATTCTCTATTTTTAATAAACACTTTCTCTTGATTGTACCTTTCCAAATATGTAAAAACTTATTCTAAATTGTCATTCGTTCAGTACTTATGGGCATATGTCAAAATATGGCCCAACCCTGACAACATTCCCCTACCATATACTTGTCCGATTTTGATGAAACTTAATTTGTAATTTAAGAGTCGTTAGAAAACTCTATATTCCAAAAGTCATGCTTGTCTGATGAAAAACAACGATGTTATAATTTTATTTCCGTTATTTCTATACAGATTTTTTGATCTTTCCTATGGCAGCGATATGGTACAGCTATCCCATTTTGATCAAATTTAATCCGAAATTCAATAGTAGTTAGAAAACGCAATCTTGAAGAAATCAAGTCGATCTGATAAAAACAACGGTGTGAGAATTTTTTATTTCGTTCTCTCCAATGCACAGTGGCCGAATTATTCAAAGTTGAGGCATAAAATGAAATACAGTTCCCAGGGATTTAAAAATTCGTACAGTTGACGGTTATAATGTATATAGAAACTGGAAAAGCTTTGAGATTGATCGGACCACGCCCACTCCTACCTCCTATATTAACCATATTAAAATGTTTTAAATTTGATACTAATTCATATATATTTTTTTGTATTATGTATTTAAACATGAAAAGATAATTTTTATTAATTTTCTTCAGCATCTATCTCAAAAGAAGAGGAATATTTATATTCATTATCAGAAGAATAAATCGTCATCTACTATAACGCCTGGCTCAGCGAAAAGAGCAATCACTTCTGACGGCAGCTTGTCCTTATATATTTTAAGCTTTTTATTTGAATAAAGGCTCGATATCAGGGGATCCAAAGTATCCATAGCTCGGTGAAATATGTCCTCTATATTATTAATACGACTGAGATATTCTGTCGCGTTTATAATATTTGTTTCGAGCCTCGGAGGCGTTTTCGCCTAAACATCCGACGGGAACAGCAGAGGAAGAAATTATTTGTGATCCATGGACCAAGATCTTGTGAATGGTCGGTGACATTGGGTACCACTGCGGAACGCCCCCTCCCGCCCCTTTTTTGTGTTATCCAAAAAAAATTTTTTTTAGGCTTCACAAGGTGAGAACCTGCCTTAATAGAAACATTTTTATAGCTATGGTACATTTTATTTGACATTAGGCAATTCGTTTCGATAATAAATGTTAAAAAGTTCGGACTTCAATATCCTATAGCGGTAAATGATCAGAACAGCGGCTTATCTGAAAAAATGTTCCAATTATATCGGGAAATGTCTTTAAGTATTGTTTAAGTGCGGCGCCTGAGATAAAAATATGTACATGATAACGTCACTTACGAAGGTCCCTTTTTGGAACTTTTAGGTCAAAAATTGTAAAATGTGCACGCGCCCTTTATTTTAGTGAAGTAGATTTAAAAACACACATTTTAAGATATTTCCGGATAAAATTGGACCTATTTTTCAGAAAAGCCTCTGTTCTAAACCTTTACCCTGTACCGTAGAAATACGAACTAGATTTTGATGGGTGTAGTTGTTTTTTACGTTTTAGTTCTAACAAGATGGGTAAACAAATTTTGGCTATCCTTTCTTGTTTTGTATATTTATTTGTTACTAAGTATTTATTTGTAACATGAAACTAATGCGATTTCAACTAAGTATTGCACTATCCTTTCAACACACCTTAAAAACCAATTGTTTTTCGTTTCATTTACAGATAACAATGGCTCGTTATAATAAACTATGGAGCGCAATATGTGTTATTCAAACACTAGGTCTATTCGCACCCACTTCTCAACAGAACTCAAACGCGCAGAAAAACATTGAAGAAATATTTAACACTAATCCCAGCAAAAGTCCTGGTCAACAAGGGAACGGGATTGGGTTCGTGGTTACACCAGAGCCTATAGATTCAATAAATGGACAGTCAAACTTTAATTCTACTAGTGGAAGAAGTGCTGCCTGTAATTGCGTGCCGTACTATAAATGCGACCCTTCAACAAATAGTGTGACTGAAGACGGTTCGTTTGATGGATTTGGAGTAATTGATATTCGTTTTAACGCCGATGACCCGATATGTCCTGAATCTGTTGACGTATGCTGTGCCGATAATAGGACGCGTAGTGACACCTTAAATCCAACTCCTTTGGATCAAAGGCCAAACCAACCTCGAGGTTGCGGCGTTCGCAACACGGGTGGCCTTGACTTTACCCTTTCCGGCGCCACGCAAAACGAAGCAGGATTCGGCGAGTTTCCATGGACTGTAGCATTATTACACATTGGAAATTTAAGCTATTTTTGTGCTGGATCACTTATCCATCAACAAGTGGTTTTAACTGCAGTACACTGTCTGGAGACACACGGGCCTGGAACTTTTATGGTTCGTGCAGGGGAGTGGGATTCACAAACAACAAATGAGCGTTTACCGTATCAAGAAAGAGCAGTAAAAAGTGTTATTAGGCATCCGCAATACAAGAGCAGAAATATAGCTAACGATTTTGCTCTTGTTATCCTCAGTCAATCGCTTACATTAGATGACCACATTAATGTTATATGCTTACCACAACAAGAAGCTGTTCCTGCACCAGCCACTACATGTTTTTCCACTGGCTGGGGAAAAGATGTTTTTGGTTCTTTGGGAAAGTACAGCGTTATAATGAAACGTGTGCCTCTGCCAATCGTGGATTTTAATTCTTGCCAAGCCAGGCTAAGAAGCACACGACTTGGAACAAAGTTTGCCTTGGATAGATCATTCATATGCGCGGGAGGACAGCGAGGCACTGACACTTGCCAAGGCGACGGAGGAGCCCCACTAGCTTGTCCAATTGGAATAGCATCTGAAAATCGATATCAACAGAGTGGTATAGTTGCTTGGGGGATTGGATGCAACGATGAGGTGCCGGCTGCATATGCCAATGTAGCCTTGGCAAAAAATTGGATTGACCAGCAAATGTTAGCCAATGGCTTCGGAACGTCTGTCTACACTGCTTAAGTTTTGGCTTAAATAAAAAAACATAACAACTAATTTTTTATGAACTTATATTATGGTTACAGGAAAACAAATGTGGTGTTTTTTCATTATACTTTTGAAGAGGGTATTATAATTTTAGGCATACGTTTGCAACGCGGTAAAGGAGACACCTACGCCCCGATAAAGTATGTATATTCTTGATCAGCATCACCATCCGAGTCGGTCTAAGGATTTACTTCTGTCAGTCTGTAATTTTTACGAGGGTTAAATAACAAAATAAATAGGAACCTCCAAAAAGTTTTAGTGCACTAAAAAATAAATAGTCGTTTCTTCGCTTTGCTTAAACATCCATTTGTTACGACAATATTTATAAACAGGAAAATAAGCTAGATTCGGCGTGACATACGCGTTTTGATCAATTTAGACGGTGATGCCGATCAAAAATATATAATAGAGGGTTTAATAATTTTAGTCAGAAGCTTGTAACAAATTTCTTTTTTTATCTTCGCTCGCTACGTAAACGTGCGGCTAGCTCAGTTGAGTTTATGTGTACGTCCCACCAAATTTATTGTTGCGTGACCCCGAAACCAAAGAAGAACGCAGAAGTTAGGTTAGATTTTGGAATATATATGACGGGTTTATTATCCCTTGGTTTTATAATTGGATATTCGATTTCTGGCTCTGCTCGCTGACGACTCGATCTCCCTCGTTGACGCCGGTAATGGCTCCCGCGTCGACTCCTGCGGCGGCACGCCTGTCCTGTGTCCTCTGCCTTGCCGAGTCTTTTGGGCACCGGTCGCGTATTAGGCTCGCGACGAGTCTCTCACAACTTGGAGGATGTTAAGCAGAAAATCTTACTTGCAGGGCTAAGCAGCGTTGCCTGCAGTCAACACTTTTCGCTCCACCCTGAAGTTCGGTCGGGATTTCGTCGGCCTCGGCCTCGGCAGGTCCTCACTCTCGTGTGGACCGACTCCGGGCACCTTTCGCACAACTCCCTCGGATTTCCGTCGGCTGGCCCTCAGCAGGTCCTCAATCTTTCATGTGAACCGACGCTGAGTACCTCTCGCACAACATCCACTGGATCTTCGTCGGCTGGCCCTCAGCAGGTCCTCAATCTTTCATGTGAACCGACGCTGAGTACCTCTCGCACAACATCCACTTGCTCAGACTCCACCAATATCGTCGTTCTCGAGACTCGTAGACGCACCCTCGTAGACGTGACCGTCGTTGGGCTTCTCGACTCGGCGATCTTAACTCCGGATTTAATGGGACTTGGTATTTTCCTTGGGTTTCACCCGCGTTGGTACGATCTCGTTGCACGACTTTCACTTGACTGTCTTGGTGGGTCTTGGACACGACCGTCCTCCGAGGCGGTTCCTTTCTAGCTCCCCGCGTTGCGCTTGCTCCGTACTTTTATATCCTCTGCGGGTTCCGTTATCCTCTCCAGACAGCTCACGTGATCGGGTCCAAAGTGCATCGAGGTCCCGTTAATTCACTGTGTCTCCTCTTTGTGCGGGTCCAAAGTCCGCAGACTCACCGTTATATGGGCCCAAAGTCCGCGGATTCACCGTTCGACCTCGATGCCCTTGCCGACTGGAGTCCAAGGTCCTGAGCGGTACCGATATTTCCCTTGTTGGTACCCGCTCTTCCACATGCAGCTCCTCCCGCTGTTGCTATGCAGCTCCCCTACACTTAAAATTGTGAGGAGTTTTACTACTCCTTACAAGCTTGCAACGCTGAAAAGGAGACACATAAAATATATAATCTTGATCAGCATGAAGATCTGAATCGAACTAGACGTGAACGCCTGTCCGTTTTCCTGTTTCTATGTAAACCAATCAATCAGATTTAAATCTATCTTGCTGTAACTTTATCAAAAGTTGTGAGGTTATTGCGACTATACTTGGTAGTTGCCATAGGGAAGATAAAGAAAATGACGGATTTTGACGGAAAAGATGGATGATTAATGATCTTCCATTTTGCATTCCCGCGAACTTAAATGTTATATGTACACGGATGATGTAAAACTGTGTCTGCAATATAATGAATACTCCCGTCATTTAAATCTTAAAGCAAAAAAACCTAAGACATTTTCAAAGCTTGTGTCACGACGACTAACTAAATTTAAACAGCTCCAAGTGCAAGCTGATGACGTTTGGTCGGGTTAATCCGCATAGTGTAAGTGCGAATACCTTGGAAAGAATAACGCTTTTGACGATCTTGGCGTCCTCTTGGTCCCTAAACTTAAATTTTCACTTCATATTTCGAACATGGTTAATAACGCTAGGGGAATGCTTGGATTTATTAAACGATGGACGAAGAATTTTGAGGATCCTTACGTTACCAAGACTTTATTCATATCCAGCCAATCTTTGAGTATGGGGCACCCGTTTGGAGTCCTCAATACGGAGTACAGAGTACGATCAGCGTATGGAATTGGTCCAAAAAAGATTTTTAATTTTTTCCCCACGCCGCCTAAACCTATTCCTACCCTCCAATTCTAATAGATAGCTTATTAACTAGCCCTCCCTTACTAATCGTAGAACGATGCTTGGTACTGCGTTTAATAATAATCTTATACGTGGTGAAAATGACAGTCCTTACTTGTTGAGCAGACTAAATTTCTTGGTTCCAAGTAGATTAACCGTAAATTATGTTCCTTTAGTTTTAAATCATTGTAGTTCTAATTAAAACTTATAACTTTGTTCTGACTAAAATAGACCTTTTCCTATAGTATCTACTACTGACTCTCTGCAGCTCTTAAAGCAATTATTACTAACATATTTCAAATTTGTAGAGTAGTTTCCTGGCTGGAATATGTCTCAGTCCGGCCAGGTTCTTTTACAGAAAATTTGTAAGTTTGGGGGACTATGGAAATTTGAGTAGAGGGTGGGCCGACTGAGGTGAAAGTTGTCGGGCTCACGGTAGTGTGGGTCGCAAAGAGGTGGGAAAAGATAGGAAAACAACTGAGGCTGGTCGCCGGTAGCAATTGTCGGGGAAAACGGATGTCGGCCGAGGCTTCTCGCGCTGGCGGCTGGATGCTATACGCAGTGCGCCGGGCTACGGTCACCGGGGTGCACGCGGGGAAGGGGGTGCGATACGCTCTCGGACACAGAGGCTGGACGCCTGGCTGCGATCACCGAAAGCGGCACACGCGCGGGAGCAGAGGCAGTGCGCCTGGCTGCGGTCACCGGGGTGCACGCCGGGGAAAGGTGGCACATAAGCGGGAGCAGAGGATGTACGCCTGGCTGCGGTCACCGGGATCCACGTGGGGAGAGAAGTGGCACTCACGCGGGAACAGAGGCTGTACGCCTGGCTGCGATCACTTGGGTCCACTTTTGGGAGGGATGCAGGCGGCATCCTGAAATAAAGAACGGCTGCTGACTCAAACTACTGGGCACGCGGGAAATTTAATACACAGTCAAAGTTTTTAAATTTCATGTAAAATTTTATTCAATGGTAAATCAATGAGTCTCTTCCTATACCGCACTCCTTAAATTTAGAACTATTCACTCAGGCAGACTTAGCAAATTCCTCGTAGGGGTGCAAGCTCGTGGCGTAGGGGCGTGGCTTGATCCTCTTGCTGCTGGGGCGGGGCCTCGGTCGCCGTGTTTCAAAAATGCCTTGGTCAAGTGGTACGTCACGGAATAGGAAAATGACCGGACGGGGCCGGCGATGCAATGCTGCGGTTGCGGCGTAGTCGTCGTAATCGGAAGCGCAGGTGGCGTAGGTTTTCACTATCTCGAGAATTTCCGGGGGCTATGTTTTCACTTTCGCGAGACTTAAGACGGGCCTGCCACGTGGTATTCGAACGCGCACTTGAGCGCAGAGCCGCGACGAACGGGTGCCAAAGTGTATTCAAATCTAAGCCTCGGAGACAAGTGATCACTCTCTGATCAGCCAGCTCATGTCATGCCCAAAAAGTTCTTTCGCTGCTTTCCTTCTTCTCTGCCGCCGTCCTTTGCTCGCATGATCGGGACCTGCGCTTACATAGCTTAAGTGCGTCGTAGATGGCTTTTCGGGATTCTGCGCCCGATCTGCCGCCCTCTGCTTAGACGATCGGCGCCTGCGCTTGCATATGCAAATGACGTCGTAGACGGCTTAAGTATGCTCCCTCTCGCTCTGTCGCCTTCGCAGGTCAGGTTCGTGGGACATACGCAATATCGATTTTAGCGGGTACTGCTCCCTCTCGTCGCTGCCTCTCCTTCGGCTTTCTCTCCCTCTCGATTTCTATGTAGATATACTTAGGATTTTGTCTTTCTCTGGGTCTCCATGTAGTTATGCTCTCCCCGCCTCTCGCTGCTTAGAGATGGGACTTATCTTCATACTTCTATTTATTTATTTATTGTATTAATAAAAATTTGAGGGGAACTTCATGATTTTCAACTATGGAAAACTTTAAATTATAAAAAAATTGTACAGCCAATTCGGGCCGTTACAAATTAGGTCGTAAAAGTAAATCTAAAAATTTTTTTTAAATGATCAAGCCACGATTATCAGCAGCGATCGAAAGAGGTGGAGGACTCTCCCCGAGGCAGTATGGTTTCAGACCAGGCAGATCAACCATAGGAGCAATCCACGAAGTAGTTAATCAAGCGCTCAGCAGCCAACAAGGCAACCACTTCTCAAGACTAGTAGTACTACTAGCAACTCTGGACGTTAAAAACGCATTCAAAAGCGTTAAATGGGACAACATAATTGAAGCTCTGCAAAGACGATTCCAAATCCCAGGTTACCTGATGCGGATAATACAGAACTACTTTGACAACCGACGACTATTGTATCAAACAAAAGAAGGAGAAAAATTAATGCAGATAACTTCAGGAGCTGCACAAGGATCTATACTTGGACCGGATCTATGGAACATCAGCTACGACGAAATTTTCCACCTAGACATGCCTGAGAACACGACCATCGTGGGGTACGCAGACGACATAATCGCAGTCATTACAGCTCGAAATACCGAGTACGCACAACGCAAACTGACGCAGGTAATGACACGTGTAAAAAGCTGGCTAAACTCACAAGATCTGAAACTGGCGGACGAAAAAAACCGAGCTACTGTTAGCTACCAGAAAAATAATCCCTCTAGAAATAGACATGAGAGTAGGGGAAAACTTAATAAGGACGGAGAAGGTTAAAAAGTACCTAGGAGTCAGATTGGACTCAAAATTGACATTCAGTGCACACATACAAGAGACAAGGAAGCGACCGACCGAGACTAAAAAGGCGCTAAGGAGACTAATGGCAAGATGGAAACTCGTGATGGAGATAAACCATGCAATCATGCTGTATGGGAGTGAGGTCTGGGCAAGAACCCTTGAGACAGCCTGCAGGCAAAACCTCTACTGGAGGTGCAAAGAACCATGGCTCTTCGAATCGCGAGCGCGTATCGAACGGTATCTGGCGCTGCTGCACTAGTTATCGCAGGCGCGATACCAATCGACCTACTTGCTAAAGCGCGAAAACGGATCTATGAGAGGCGACAGACAGGAGAGACGACGAGAGCGTTAATCGAGCGCACCAGAGAAGAAACCCTCCAATAATGGCAGGAAAGATGGGCAGTTGAAGAACGAGGAAGATGGACAGCTAGGCTGCTACCAAACCTGGTAGCATGGTCTACAAGGAAACACGGAGACGTGGATTACTACGTTACCCAGATGCTGACTGGCCATGGCTATTTTGCCGCCTTTCTATACTCGATAGGGAAAAGCAATGACGCCAGATGTATATATGGAGATGCGGAGATCGACAGTGCTGAACACACCATCTTCCAATGTGAAAAGTTCGGACCGGCGCGCATTTGCCTGGAAGAAGTTGTTGGGACAATAAGCCCGGAAAACATCATCACGAAGATGATAGACAGCAAATTAGAGTGAAAATTATTGCGTTCGTTGAGAACATCCTCAGGGCGAAGAAAGAAGATTAGAGCGCATATCGATTAACTGGCGCCACCTTGAAGTAATGCGAAAGCTTTTCCGAGGTGGAAACACGGCCAACGACGAGGGGGGAGTGTAGTGGGTGCAAACCCCACGTAACTCGCTTTGCGTCGGCAAACTGGAGATGCAGTAGGCATTCCCCCTCCTCAACAAAAAAAAAAAAACAAAAACAAAATTATTTTTATTATTAATGTTATCATTATTAATATTGAGTTTTATAGTAAGAACTGTTTTTGTATATTTTCCATGTTTTAGTTAGTTAACTAAAACTTTTATTTTTAGTTTTTTTTTAATTTATTTTTTTTTCTGCAGACATACTACCCAGACTATACATACTATCCAGCAAAACAAGGTTTAAACTTTTTTCCGGAATTTGTCGTTATTTATCCGTACTTTAATCGTGACGGCAAAAGATTTGCCGCTCAATCATTTTTTTAACCTATATACAATTTTTTTAACCTAAAACAATCTCCTATGGTTTAACATTTTTAGCTTTTTTTTTGCGTCAATTAAACGTATATTATTTGAAAAAGAAACATATGTGCAGCTCAGTTATTACATATTATATTTTATTTTGAATAAAACTTATTAAATGTACTGTGAGGAGTTGAATTACTCCCCACATATAGTATTGAGTTGGCTGAAGGAATAGCAGGACTGCGATGGACCTTGGACCCAGTCACGCGATATAATCAAAGGAGTAACGGGATCGCAGTGGACCTTGGACCCGGTCACGCGATCCAGCCAGAGAAATAACGGGATCGCGGTGCACCTTGAATCCGGTCACGCGATCGAACCAAAGAAAAGTAACGGGTCGGCGTTGGACCTTGAACCCGGATAAAAAGGAGAGGCCGAGGATTAACGGGACCAGGAGCCCTATATAAGCGGGGCCCACAGGAGGTCGCGGTTGCCAAGGGCATACGCCTGGAGAACACGGCGCCTGTTCACCTTAGTCCGAAAACGGTGACGCTTCCCATAGCCCAACTCCCCTCGAGAAATACCCGACAGGAACGGCGACAATCGAGCGGGACCACTAGAGAGGCGGACACACCGGAGGAGGCGCCGCGAGAATCGTACCGAAACTAGCATTACATTAGATATTCGGATTCCGAGATCGAATAGATAATTTTGAAGTTGAGAAACGAAGTTGTCTTCTATTCACTGATTGGGCAATCACAACATATAAATTTGGTGGGACGAACGCCCAACAACTACTGAGCTAGCCGCACATTTCCGTAGCGAGCACAAAATATAAACAAATCAGTTCGTTACAGTACTGCAAAGTTAGTGCCAGTTTACCCACTATTGTTTTATATTTTCAACTTGTACAGAAAATTATCATTTGTAAATTATTATGTTGCAGTTGGAGTCGATTCCAGGAGGACGCTATCTTTACTTTAGAACAGTAGCGATGGTTAGGGCAGCGCCCCCTTTTGGGCCATGGGCAAGTTTCTACTTACATTGGTATCTAATATGTAGAATATTCCTGATTGGGATTTCTCTTAGATGGCCTTGGGGATGTCCGTTGACCCATCTTCGAGAGAGCCTGGGAAAGATGGTAGGGAACATGGCGTGATAATACGGATCACCGACAAAAAGTAGAAATTTTGTGAAATTTGTGAACAAGTGAGTTAGTTTTTTTTTGTGATAAATTTAGAAATGTAAAATGTTTATTTTTGGTTTAGGGAAACCGGGGTTCCACGATAAAGGGCCCCGAGAGTTTTCTTGAGGAATTCATATTTTTTCGTTGAAGACGATATAACCTTTTTTGAAGATTGCCATATTCTGGAGAAGCCACATTTTTTTGAGCATCACGTTTAATTTTTGGAAAAACACAAATATATTTTTCTGGAGGAAACCCACATTTTTTGAGGAACCAAAAATTTATTTTCGGAAGAACCCATAACCTCTTTGGAAGACATCCTCGTTTTTTTTTTTGAAGAAACACACCTTCCTTTTGAGGTCACACAGTTATTGCTGGAGAAGAACCAAGATTATTTGGAAGACACATTTCCTTTCAGAGGAGGCCGATATTTTTTGGATACATTTGTTTCTGGAGGAGACCGACTTCCGTTTCTTTTGGGAGTACAAATACATTTTTGTTGGAGTTCAAACAAATTTATTTTATTTTGGAAGACCAAACATTTCGTTTTGGATGCAGTACAAGTATTGACGGAGAAATTATAACTGAATCACGCAGGAATCGAAGTGCCGGTGAGTTCGTTCCTAGTCGGAGTGACTACAACTGTGTTCCTCAACAACGAATTCCTCCGAGAGCTGCTGATGCCGCCAAATTGGCCAGCCAGTCCTCTTAACCTCTCGGTTCATCGTTGCGGTCCCTTGGTAGGCTGCGTCTGCGTATGAAGTCCTATAACTAGAATCGAACTAGTAAAATGTTTAATTAATAAGTAGTTTCCTTACCATCTTGTGCAATTTAATTACGCCTTGTCCCAAGTTTCGCTTTTGACCGACGTTTTTCGGGAACCAAATAGGTCGCTGAAATAGGTTAAAGGATTGTGCGTTATATAGTGATATCACTTACCGTTCGGCGTCCCTTCTTTTCCTGTGGAGCTCCTCAGGATTAGGTGACCCTAATTTTAAGCCGGGTAAACGAAAAGAATTCTGCCGATATAAGGGTGGCAGAACATTTCCGGTCCTTTTCTTAAAAATTAGCTTTGACCGCTAAATTTTAAGACGGCGGTCGATTGACGATCCAGCGGTCTGCGTGTGATTAAATTTTTGTTTAGATAAATATTAGTAACAATGTCAATGATACTCACCTGAGTAATTAAAACCAGTTTATAATGATGATGAATTGCTAGACCTTTTTCTATGGGGGAGATGGAGTTAAGTTAGTCGCCTGGAGTGACTTGTTGACCCATTATGGGGGATGCAGGGATAATACTTACCAGGCATCCTAGGTTGGGTGGGTACGCAGTGGCCAAGAACACCGATGGCCACCAAAGATCCAAATTTCCGTCGCCTTGTATTTCAATGTTTACGTTTTTTGGTTTGTTTACATTTTTGTTAGTGATCGCAAAGAGTTTAGTGTTGTGAGACGACCGTAATCGATGTTTGTATCTTATGTTGTCGGACTGCGGGCATTGGGGAGAACTTGGCCCAAATGAGATCGCTGAGCTAGCGGCGCTGCCCACCCAAGAAAGCAGTTCGTAACAATTAGACAACACAAAAATTTCAGTTTTTTGTTTTACTATCTCACATGTTCTACTTTAGTTAAACTCAATTTCGGAAAAATCTAATTTGCCGTTTCCAAAATGTTTTCTGCCGGAAAATTACCGTTAAGAAAAGTATGAGCAAGAAAACAAGTTAGATTTTAAAAGTTCTTACCGAATATTCTTAGCCTAATGCACCTAATAACCTAGATATATCTGATAGTGGATGTGTTTTGTAAGCATCGGAGTTTCACATTTCTTTAAAATGCCAACAGTTTCACACGGATGAACAATAGGAAAAGGGTATTATTGAGGTGAGTGCTCGTTCATAGAAATAGGATCTTATACCCCCGGTACACTAACAACGAGAGTCCTAGAATGGATGCCGTTATTAATTCAATTTACTCCCTTTACCATAAGGAGCAAATACATTTTTGTTGTTCATTTAATGTTTGCCATGTTTGTAATAGGTTTTTAAAATAAAACAAATTAATTTTCAACCAAAACAAAAAATTTTATGTTTTTATTTCAATAACATGGGTTTTTTAATTAATTAATTTTTAATTAATTAAATAAATAATTAAATAATGCGCATTTACTCAATTTTAGCAAATTTACGCATTCAGTTTTACTTGGAAAAAACAAAAAAACTCTATGTGGAAATCCACTGGTTTTTGCCCTAAAAATGATATATCCCCTTACCTACGCCTGCTAAAAGAAGTAAGTTTTCATCTATTCCTATCCCTACGCCTGCTAAAAGAAGCAGGATTATGAGTACTCTAAAAACCTCCTTTCCCGCTGGGTATCTATGAGGTCGTCACATACACGCTGTAAGCATTTGTGTGAAGTCGGCATAGCACTTCGACTAACTAACAGAGAGTAGTAAGAGAGACTAACAGAGATCGTAAGATCCTTTGTTTCTCGGATATGCACGCAAGCAAGGTTGCCGATAAATCATAATAACATACATAACAGCGTCGTTTGATGTTTAAATTTGTCGGCTTTATTTCGCTGTATTTATTTTTTCGGCACGACGCCATATCCGAATACACCACCGAAAAATTTAATTCGTATAAGCGATTTGTCGCTAAATGCGGAAACTCACAAAGCGGAGGCTCTTTCATATAAGTTTGCATGAGGACCAACTAAACCATTAAGTTTTCGTCGCAAGACCCGGATGGGCACTATAGGCGGAGTCGCTATAACAGGATTTTTTTGTATATTATGAATCAATTGCTAAATAAATTATTGATTGTTCTTACAAAGGTAAAGTTACCATACTCCCTAATTTCTTACGGAATTTCCCTATTTTGACCTTCGGCACTGGTTCCCTGATATTCCTAAAAACTACCAGGTTTCCGTGAAAAATCCCTAACTTTCGTGAAAAATGCATTGATTCCCTGATTTGATGATTGAAATGAAAATGATTCATCAAAATGAGATGCCAATATTAACTTATTCAGTGTAAACGCGCTATAAGACAATAAATTTAAAAAAATAAATAAAATCGAGTTCTCTTAAAGGACTTAATTTTTAAGAAGGACAAGGAAATGATACCTTGTCCGTAAGATTAAGGAATACATTTCCATATATGTATAAACATATGCATAAACATATAGTAAATTACTATGTGATTTAGATTAAATATCTGCAGAAATTATTCGGTGCACTTATGAATAAAAATTTAAGTCCCAATTGTTTTAACAAAACCATACAATAAACGCAGTTATTCTCTTTAAACGGTATAACATTGTTAACAAATCATAGAATCTTTTTTTTTTTTTTTATCAACATACAAATTAACATGTATTCATACATAAGTACAGTGACTTACATCGGAGTATGGGTAAATGTTTACAAGTGCGGTGCACGGTAAATACAGCTTAAAAAGAAAGTAAAATATGGAAACGATATGTTTTTTTCTAAAACTTCGAAATCCATTGGCGGAGAGTGAAAATTTTGCACCGTTTTTTTTGCTATTAACAATTAAAGTTGCAATTTGTAGTACAAATTCGTATCTTAGTGACCGTATTTGCATGTGATGTGCCGATTATTGCAGTCGTCTGGTGGCACTTGTAAACATTTACCAACGGGTGACCAACGCACAGTAGGCCGGATTGCTAAATAAGCGGCATAAAATCGAAAATTGTATATATCGAGCTGAAACTTGGCATATTTTAAGAATACACCACTATAAATGTTTAAGCAATGTTTTAAGTAAGTTTGACCACGCCTACCTTAACTGCCCATGGAAGACAACATAACGTATACGTGATCTGAAGTTAGATTTCTTTTTTTATACCTATGTTAATTATTTTCTTACATATTATACTGATTTTTATTATCTATAATAAAGATGTATTTCATTTTTGCTAAAATAGGAATGAAAGGATATATATGTATTAAGATTTTATGCTTACATATACTTAGTATTAAAAAATTGTGATTTGCCAAAAACAAAAAAAAACTGAAATGAAATGTGTTCAATCGTTCTCTACAGCTAATTCAAATGAAAATTGATTTATTTCATTTGCATCCGAATCTTCCGGGTCATCTGAAATATCATTAAAATTGCTGTTGTTAGGAAAAGATTCTGTAGTACTAGGAATATCATTTTGGGGTGCTGCGAAGAGTTCAATTACGTCTTGCGGAAGGGGTTGTTTTTTATGTCGAGCTGCCCTTTATTTGAAATACTTGAGATAAAGGGATCTGATAAGTCCATAGATCTGTGTAACACATCCATCATATTATTTATTCGAAAGTTCTGTCGAGCATGCATTCGCCTATCACGCATGTAGAATTTATTTCGCGCTTCTGACGCGTTTTCTCCAAGACAGCCTACTGGCACTACTGACTCTGCTATCATTTGGGATCCATGTGTAATTTTGTGTAAAGTTGGTGACATCGGATACCATGGGTAATTCAACATATATAGCTGGATGGTTTTTTTGAGAATTTTAGAAATTTTTGAGGATCGATACTTTCGTTACTTTCAAACCTTTTCTTATACATACTTTGTCCAGACGATCTATCAAAACCGTAACTCGCAATTAATTTAACGCTGGACACACTTTCTAAATTAACTAATGTTTCTTCCTGTAATAATAAAATTCAGCTAGCAGTATGATTTAATAAATCTTGTAAAGCAACTTTTGCAACTGTTTATGTCACTGTTATTCCCACAGGGAATTGTAATTTTGCTTTCTGAACTTTGTGGTAGTTTGGGTATATATCGCAATTATGTATTTTACTCATATGACGAATTTCATTGTATAATTGTTTGCTTAATGAATTTTCTAGCAAAAATTCCAATGCATCATTTATTGTGAGAGGTATTGCTTCAGCTGCTAGAATCTTTCTTTTTGCTTCAGTTGCCTATCTTTCTGACGTACAAGAATTTTGAAGTAGAAATGCAGTATTGTTTTCATTCGTTTTTCTGGCTGATATTGTGACTGCGTGAATCAAAAGTTTGGTATCATTGTCATTTGTAACTGCAACATCACTAGCAAGTTTTCTTTTAAGGTGCGTTCCTCCTTCCTCATAAGCTAGCTTTGGTATTCCCTTTTTAAGCTTGGAATATCCGCTTGGTTATCCAGACCTATTTTAAAAGACTTTGATAGCCACTCTGAATGTTTATTCTTGAATGTTTGCATATTACGGCTACACTTTTGTATATTTGATTTTATATAAATTTCAAAGCTTTTAATTTTTTGTGAAGTTCGCCCTTTTGGTCGACAGTCAGCTTACCCTCATTTACCTGGCCAAATATCCATTAACCCTTTCATGCCCAAATTAATCTGGGGACACATAGAAAATTTTTAACGCCATAAATGATTAATAGGAACCCCAAATAACGTTCATATCGATTTTCGATACTCTAAGTCCTTTGGTATGTCCTTACTGCAAGGTTGCCTTTAGGCCTTTGAAAAGATCCACACTCTTTATAAAACAATTTTCAAGCCCAACTTTATACTTTTATCATAGTCTTACCTGTTTTAAAGATATGTACGTACTTATTTTATTAGTATTTGTCACTAATTTTAGTTAATCGCACTATTTGCACGGACACTTTTTGGTAAAATTTTTCGGCAGCTGTGGTCGCTTCGAATCATAAGTGATAACTCAGCACACGCTGCAGCTGCATTCGCCAAAATTACCAAAAATTAAACAACATTAATAAGGGGAATCGCCTATAAAAAAAAATCCACAAAAATTTTGAATCGTAACCGATTTAAACTTCAAAAAGTCAATGTTGCCTGTAGGCAACAGTGGGCATGAAAGGGTTAAGCAAGCGCGGTAGAGTCGCGATCGCTGTCAAACCATACGTCTAGAAAAGTTGCATGACAAAACTCATGCAGATCTAGAAAAGCCGCAAATCGGATTGTTATTATACTTTACTAAGCAGTTTCTATTTCTGTTAAACATACATTACACATTGCAGAAATATGCAGAAGACTTTTTTATCAACAGAAGACAAACATATTGGTTAGGTTTTTTTTTGCTTTGGACAACACAAAACAATACACATATTATACACATAAAATAATTTTACACAAAATGCTTTCATCAATTTGCTTACCTCGAAGTTTAAAATCCATTTTAAATAATGTTAAAATCTTTTCTCGTTTCTGATTGCCAAGAGCACAAAGTCAAGAAGAGTTTCCCGCCAACTCAATTACACAAATCAGCTGTTCAATCACTTAACTTTGAAGCTTAGTAAAAATTTCAAGGTTGCATTTGAACTAAAAATACTTTTTAATACTTTCTTTACAGGGAATTTAATATTGAAAAGTTAAATAAAAATTAAGATTTGCTTCAATAAAATTTTCGATTTTATTCCGCTTATTTGGCAATCCGGCCTACTGTGCAACGGTGTAAATGGACCTAGTCGAAACTTACAAGGTTCTAAAACCATTTTTTTAAGCTTACATTAGAAGTATAGCATGCGTTACCAATGAGAGAAAGCTTCTTTTCTACAAAAAGCAGCAGTCTTTAGAAGTCAATTGCAAGGTGTCTTTGTTGTTATTTTTGGGAACAAATAGTTTTTAAATCTACAGCTCTATTACTTACAAAATAACGACTTTGTAAGAAATAATTATAAGGAAAAACGCAAACGTCCGGATTTCGAAAAAAAAATAGTTTGTTGAAGCAACAGCTCTATAACTTACAAAAGAACGCATTTTTATACCCTTGCAGAGCAAAAGGGTATTATAATTTCAGTCAGAAGTTTGCAACGCAGTGAAGGAGACACCTCAGACCCAATAAATTATATATATTCTTGATCAGCATCACGAGCAGAATCGGAATACGTCTGTACGTCTGTCCGTCTGTCCATCTGTCCGTCTGTCCATCTGTCCGACTGTCCGTCTTTCCGTTTCCGCGCAAACTAGTCTCTCAGTTTTAAAGCTATCTTGGTGAAACTTTTACAAAAGGTGTGTAGTTATTGCACGCAGTATGTAAGTCGAAACGGGCCGGATCGGCCGACTATATCGGATAGCTCCTATACGAGAGAATGAAATAAAAAATTCTCACGCCGTTGTTTTTGATCAGATCGACTTGAATTCTTCAAGATGGCGTTTTCTAACTGTTATTGATCGGAATAAATTTGATCAAAACCGGATAACTCTATCATATAGCTGCCATAGGAGAGATCGAAAAATATATATAGAATTAATGGAAATAAATTGATAGCATCGTTGTTTTTTATCCCACGAGCATGATTTTTTGAATATCAAGTTTTTTAACAACTCTTATACTGAGAAAAAAGTTTCATAAAAATCGGACAACTATATCTTATAGCTGCCATAGAAAATATCGAAAAATCTATATAACAAGAAAGGAAGCTATCTACGGCAAGCCGAAGCTTATATACCCTTGCAGTCATCAAATGTGTCGAACAAAATGCATAAAAGCTAAACAACATCGAAGCTATAACGATTTTTCCATTCATTTTCCATATTTCCGACTATAGATCATATGGGAGCTATATGATATAGTTGTCCGATTTTGATCAAATTTAATTCGTACTTTAAGAGTCGTAAGAAAACTCTATATTTCAAAAATCATACTTGTCTGATGAAAAACCAGGATGTTATAATTTTACTTCCGTTATTTCTATATAGATTTTTCGATCATTCCTATGACAGCTATAAGATATAGTTGTCCGATTTTTATGAAACTTTTTTCTCTATATAAGAGTTGTAAAAAAACTTGATATTCAAAAAATCATGCTCATGGGATAAAAAACAACGATGTTATCAATTTATTTCCATAAATTCTATATATATTTTTTGATCTCTCCTATGGCAGCTATACGATAGAGTTATCCGATTTTGATAAAATTTAATCCGAAATTCAATAGTAGTTAGAAAACGCCATCTGGAAGAATTCAAGTCGATCTGATCAAGAACAACGGCCTGAGAATTTTTTATTTCATTCTTTCGTATTGGAGCTATCCGATATAGTCGGCCGATCTGGCTCGTTCCGACTTATATACTGCGTGCAATAACTACACACCTTTTGGGAAAGTTTCAGCAAGGTAGCTTTAAAACTGAGAGACTAGTTTGAAGAGAAACAGACAGACGGACAGACGGACAGACGTACATACATATTTCGATTCAGATGGTGATGCTGATCAAGAATATATATACTTTATGGGGTCTGAGGTGCCTCCTTCACTGCGTTGCAAACATCTGACTGAAATTATAATACCCTTTTGCTCTGCAAGGGTATAAAAATAACG